GAAGATTCACAACGTCACCAACTGATTTACCATCATTCTCTAATTCCCTGCGTCTAACTTCACTATTACTTTCCTGTCGATCCCAGCAGACGCCAGACATTTTTGGTCAAATACTAGTAGCTTACAAGTATCTTATACTCTTAATGGCCATGTTTCGTTGCCGTAAAGTGAAACAGAAGGAACTGCCGCGGAGTATACTCGTCTTCTTATTGATGGACGGATATCTCGCCTTCGCCATAGGTGACAAGCTTTTCGAATCCGTACAGAGATTTCATGAGACACCAACCCATAAAGGGCTGGTCAGATCGCCAAGATAAGTGAAGTTGTCAACGCAAACGACTACTTCACTCCCTATCCTTAATTAAGCATGTGGTTGTCTTAGGGACCCTTTGATCCAGAGGTCATATCCATAGGTCAATAGGGTTTCCGATAAAGTTTTGTTCTGTGAGCTGGATGGTTTGGTCGTGTAGCTTCCATCGTTCTTCTGGATGACATCATCGGCGCAAACTTCAGGATGCAGTGAAGTGTTTGGTCTGCCCTCGATTCTACGGCAGGCCAAAAACACACAAACCAAACACTCCTTTACGTCCAGTTGTAGCACTCCTCGGAATGACAGCATAAGATTTGTCAAAAGAAATTTCACGAATACTGAAACATTTAGTAGATTCATCCAACTACTCCATCAGATCGCCCACACAATGCCTGGATCAAATTAAGGACGATCGCCCGAACGTGCCGAAACATTATCGACGCAACGTCTTCAACACGTTGCACAAACTTTCTCGTCCAGATGTTCGTGCAACCATCAAGCTTATAGCAGAACGGTTTTGCTGGCCTGGTATGAATAAAGACGTGAGGGAATGGGCACGCTTCTGTGTAAGCTGCCAAAAATCTAAAGTTATCAGACACAACAAATGTCCATAAGGCTCTTCCAAAACTCCGGACGCTCGTTTCGACCATGTTCATCTGAATTTGGTAGGACCTTTACCAGATTCAAAAAGATACTCTCACTTCTTAACCTGTGTAGAACGTTTCACTCGATGGCCAGAAGCAGTACCTGTCAAGGACATCACTACTGAAACAGTGGCCCGCACCTTCGTTGAACGATGGGTAGCAAACTTCGGCTGCCCTTTAACCATCACTACAGACTCCGAATGTATCTGAAAATAAACTTAAAACGACGCGTTCTGGAAGAAGAGTAAGATTTCCAGAACATATAAACGACTACTGCACGTAAAGAACTACTCGGCATTTTATATTATATCGGTCTTTCTTTTTACGATTTATAATATTTTCAACCAAAAAAACAATTTAAATATGCTTACATATTAATATTTTCATTTCAAATAAAAATTGTTAACGCTATTACGTGTGCTTGAGTTTAGTTTCCTTTATTTTCGCCGACATTATGTTTTTACGCACTTAAGAATGCATATCGACATGCACTTACGTTTTCTTTTTTCTTTTCCAGGACGGCTGGACAAGAACGATGACGTTTACGAGGAGCCGAAATTTTCATTATATTTTTTCTTTTTTACTATGTTGTACCTCGGTCCCATATTGTCAGGAAAGACAACCAGACGCTGCTAAACCTAGCAAGCTACCAGAAAAGTGTTTACCTACGACATAATCGTTGAATTTAAAGTTCTGGCTGGCCTGTGCCATCTTCTTACTCATCAGTTGTTTTAAAGGGATTATGGGTTAATATGTCTAATTTAATCATGATCACTTGATAAATCACTGAAATACGAACTCGGGTAACTTGAACCTACTTCCCGAATCAACTAGCAGTCCAGTTCACTTGAAACTGAATAGGATGGAGTTAATTTATAATCAAATTATTTGACTTTGTAATCAATGTTTTCAGATCATTTGAGTGTCAGTCTAGCCTAGCTGACCACAGTTGGTGTAATCATACTTCAATCTGGGTTTTTACTTAGTCACTGAACAAAAGTAACGATTTTGAAAATAGTAAAGCAAAACCTAATGAGACAGTATACTGTTCCTTCTTAGTCTATTAAACAGAGCGTCAATAATTCATAACATTGACTCTGAAAAGCAAGTTATGCCAGTGAGCGCATTTCAGATGAATCCATTCGTCACTTAGTTCGTAAGTTCTTTTTATAGGTTTACTTCACTGAAGGTCACATTGATATACAGTACTCATCTAAACGAACAAGTAAATTATCAAAAGTGTTGAGTAAAACCTCGTAAACATTGAAAATGTTGCGGATAACCTTAGATAATTTCATGTTTTAATACATTTAAGTTACATCCCTTTTGATTCGTAGTTGATCAATTGTTCTCTTTGGATAGACATATTTAACCTAGTTGATAATCTATATTGTTCATGATTTCATCTCGTACTTACTTACTTACGCTTGTTACTACAAATTGAGCATAGGCCGCTGACCAGCATTCTCCAACTCACTCTGTCCTGGGTCTTCCTTTCTAGTTTAGACAACTGTTAATAAACACTTGTATCTTCTGGATGATAACTTACATAGTTCTACATGTTTGCATCTCATACAGTAGAACCGTCTTGACAGTTGCATTAAAAATTCTGACTTTGGTGTTGGTTGACAGTTGTTTTGAGTTTTAAGACGCTCTTCAACTGCAAATATGCTGCTCTTGCTTTACCGATCCGCGCCTTTACATCTGCAACAGATCCACGGTGTTCATCAATCACACTTCTGAACGACATCATCGGCATGAACTTCAAGTAGAAGTAGTTCAGAGGAACGACGAAAACTCCACGACCAAACCGTTCAACTCAGAGAACGAAACTCGATGAAAGTCATCTACCTGGGTTACAAATCTTCTCCACCATCTCAAAGTTTCTTTCATACATTTCATTTCAGTATTTCTTTTTGTCATTCAATCTTTTTTTCAAATTAAACGGAACCTTATCCACCTTCATTCACAATATTCTAATGTTACCTTCATGAGTTTAAAATTATTTGAGTTTGATTGATTTAAAACTTACGAAGAGTACCAGTTCGCTTCAGATTACGAATTTCTTCAGCTAACGAGTGTCAAGTTACATATAGTCTAATTTCAGGCTTCCATGACAATTGCCTACAAAAACATCTCCAACAGTCTAAAAAATGTTCATTCTGATATCAATCTTATTTGAGACACCATTGTATTATGCATTGAGTTTCTATATGCTCATTTAATAGGTTCATTAATTTATTCAGTCTAATTATAATTAGCTTCTTTTGTGCTGATTATATTACTAACCATCGCTTAATTAATAACCACCACCATCCTGTCGTACATTAGCCCACACAGTTTCACCTATCCCCCAATAATCGATTAGAATATGCGAACAACAAGTTATTCAACCTCCTATTATCGTGATTCAAAAAGTAACGGACTAATATAGATCAATTAAAAGGCCAAAACATGCCACAAATACCTAATGGTATACTGTAAATAACTCGGTTATTTGTAATGCAGATATGAGTAATTGATGCATAATTATAAGGTTGTTGAGTTTCGATTGAGATCATGAACTGATTGATGTTAGATCACCATTGAAAACCTGTAAGCACTTGATGTCATTTTCGTCCTATTGTGAGACTCCTCGACAGTGCGCATCCACGGTCCGGCTTGCAGGATTCGAACCCACGCGCTCACCAGCGATTGACTTCATGTGGGAATTCTCGGAGTTCTAGTGGGAATTCTTGAACAGTGGAGCTAGTTCATGTTGGTTAGAGGTAGGTATTTACCTCAGTACAATGGACGATGGTAGCGCAACTTCATGGATTGGTTGAAGTTCGACATTAACACTACATTGAGTAATCATTACATTGAATCAAAGCGGAAGTAATCTTGAACAAAACCCATTATGAGTAAATCAATCGAAAATTGACTTTTCTTTCCATCATATCATATACAACGAGCTTTCATTGTTCTCCTGAAGGACTGTGAATGCTCCATGAACAAACCATCCAGCTCAGAGAAAAAAAATCCACCGAAATCATCAATCTGAACTACAAATCTTCTCTATCATATTAATCATTTAGTTCATTTAATTTCTGAGTTTATTCAGATGATCAAACGTCGCAGGTTAAAAAATCCATGATAAGAAATTAAACGGAATGAAAATTTATTAATCTCATCGTATCCATAACATATCTAATCTCAAATAGTATTGTGAAGAAACTATAAATGGTGATTACTTAATCAACGTAATAACAAAAGATTAATCAACTTCTGAACACCACTTCGTAGAACTTTATCTAAGAAGATGAACTACTTTATTCATAATCAGTAGTAATAATATATCATAAAGCATTTTGTTTAAAATAGTTGCTCTGTTTAGCGTGTGTTATATTCAAGAAGCACTTGTCTCTGTGAAATACCCTTAAAGGCTATGGGAATATCGTCAATTATTGATTAACGTGTATTAGTAGTCGACGTTGTTAAAACTTATTTTCACCTAGTCTACTTCACATTCTCAGTTCTTAGTTATTTAAAGCCTATACTAAAACACTGATGAAGCCAAAAGATTTAATTAAACAAAAAACGTATCAAGAAAATTTCAATGCTTAAGGTCATGAGTCAGTTGAAGCTAGACAACCATGGAAAACCTGAAAGTACTGGACGGCCGTTTCGTCGTATTGTGGGACTCCTCAGCAGTGCGTATCCACTGGTTTCAAGATGTATATATTGGAGTTCTAGTGAGAAGTAGTGTCTAGTGGAGTTCAACCATGTCCCTGGCGAGAAGTAACTCACTGAAGACAATGGTGGATGAGTCGCTCGATTTTGTGGATAAGTTGAAGTTAAACATTAACATCGTTTGATGCCGACCTCTGGTAACGATCAGACATTCAGTCAGTCAGCTACACCGTAGGACCAGGCACATATATGCATCTGTCAAAGTTACCTCAAATAATTAGCACAACAAGATGAACACCAAATTCATAGTAGTCACTTCAGTGGTCCATTTATTTCATTTATTATAATTAAATCAACCAATTGAATTTTATAATATGAAATTATTTAATAATTTAATTACTATGACTGATGATTATGATCAAAAATCCAATTTAATTGGTATTGGTTATTGTTTCAATGGGATATTAATGGCTTATGTCAATAATTATACTACTACTTATAGTAGTATTAGTAGTAGTAGTATTACTAATGATTCCTCTGATCGTAATTCTATATGTAGTCAATTTCTATTGAATGTACAATTATTTGATAATAATAATAATGAGACGATACGGTTTAATGATTATATATATGGAGAATTTTCATCCTTTTGGGCACCAGTTCAATGTGAATCTAATTCAATCATACCAATAGTTTTAAGATATTTTATATATACAAAAGAAAAAAGGTAAGTTTTTCCTTCTTTTCTTTTTCTTTTAGGTGATTTAATTCGATTTGAGTTTTCAGTTTCTGGTAATAATCAATCTGTTTAAGTGAATGCAATGTCTAGGAGTAATGTATGTTACGCCAGTTACTCCCAATGGAGTATAGACCGCTGGCCAGTATTCACCAGTTCACTCAGTTCTCGGCCTTCCTTCCTAGTTTTTATCCAATTTTCGTTTATTTTTCTCATGTCTGTCTCCATATCTCGGCGTAATGTGTTCTGTAGTCTTCCTCTTCTTCTTCTTCTTTGGCCTTGGGGACTCAATGTGAGGGCTTGCCATGTGATACAGCGTGGTGCTTTCCTCAATGTCTATCCTATCCACTTCCAGTGCCTATTCATGATTTCTTCCTCCGCTGGAATCTGGTTTGTTCTCCTATAGTAGGTTGTTGTTTATTGTGCCTGGCCAACGGATCTGAAGGATTTTGTGTAGACAATGGTTAATAAACACTTCTATCTCCACGACCAAACCATCCAGCTCAGAGAACAAAACTCCATCAAAGACAATTACTCATATACATATATTTGAACATTGATGTGGATATTAAACTGGATGAATTACTTGCTTTACGGTTGTAAATCTTTAAGTCTTGGTACAAAGCAATCATTAACTCAACGCATCTCGGAACATTATCGGGCTTGGCTCTTGAAAGAGGAGCGAAAAACAATCACTAGTTTGATACAGAAGCACTTAATCAACTGTGGACATATCGCTCCAAAAGACTCTTCGTTTAAAATAGTTTACAGAGTCAAAGGAACTGGATCGAAGGGGTTCGGAATCAATATTTTATGCAACGCAGAGGCATTGACAATCCACAAAGTAAAGCCTGGACATTGCGTGCAGAAACGATTTGTCCAACCTCTCATCCTTCCCTGACCCTAATTCCTTTAATGTGTGCTTTTTTTGGGTTTTTCTGCACGTTTTTATTATCGATATTTTTTAAATTATTATTTTGCACTTTAAACTCTAATCATTTATTATTATTACCATTTACAAGTTTTCTTGATTATCATTCAGTTTATTATAATGACCTTTGTTGTTTTGTCGTTTTTTGTTTATATCTGAGCCATTAATTTTGTTCTTCCTTACCCTTTGATTAGTACATTAACCTCATATTGTCGAATCCATTGTTTTTGTAACACATTTTCCATATCTAACTATATATACGAATGTACAGCTTAAGTAAATGATTTCGTCGAAAAGAAAATTTTCTTCGCTGAAATCTCTTTTTCTTATTAAATGGATTTATTCATGTCATTATGAATTAAACACTGAAATGAGTACACTGATACATAAACATATATGGAAGCAGAGTTTTTGTTGCAGAAATCAACTCCTAATTTACTAACGGGAACGTAACAGTCAGTCACTCGAGTATAATGTATGTCTCCGTGATTTCTAAACGCATTTACTCTTCGGCGTTCATTTTGTGTATAGCATCAAGCATGTTTTGTCCATTCATTTTATAGGTGGTTGATACATGTAAAGTATAACTTTTATTCAGCATTTCATTTTAAGCCGTAACATATCCTTTATTGGCTTTTTCATCCGAAAGTTGGGATATGTTACAGTGGCATGTTCATAGAAGACATAGATAGCAATTAGATGGCTGGAATGAAATCCTGAATGGAAATCATGCTCTTATATACAACTCTCAGCTACTAACTCAATGGTAAAATGTTCGACAATGTTTGGTATTTCACTTTCATTAAACCTCATACATCAGTTGTAATAAATAAATTTTTCATTTGATTTCAGAATTATTATCCTTGTTAGTGAAAAAAGAAAAAGATTTTGAAAATTGTCATATAATGAAACGTCAATGGAAACAATTAAAACAACTGACTAAAGAATTAGCTTATTGATTATGTAACAAAATGTTAGTTACTAAGTCTTCTTGTCTATTTACATTGTCGAACAGAATGATCAAATGACTGGCAGACAAATAAACATCATTTTATATGTAAACAATTTTGACAAGAACACAACTGAACGAGAAAGAAAACAATTTACATTTAAGATACGACCAATGTTATTAAGGAGAATTCCCTCTCTGCATTTGTTACATGATTAATACAGGTCAAGGGGAAAGTTGAAAAATTCATAGACCTGATATGTACTTCATTTAGATCGGTTACGATAGGCATATAGTAACAATAGCCATAACACAAGAAGTGTAGAACAAAATTGACTCAGTAATTCCGTACTTAAGAGGATGTAGTTAAATTAATAATCAACAATTTATAGCTACCGATCGATAGTGGTAAAGTTTATCTAGCACTAGATTCTGACTTATACGGCTACATAGTTTAAACAGTCCTATTATACAATTGATTTTGTCATTCGTCTAATTAGCACGAAACAAGTCTTAATTTTAACGCATAAGGATACTAGGATTTTTGATAAATATTAGCTCATTACAGTCGTAGACTAACTGTTGTCCCTTGATACTTCGGCGGTTCAATCGAAAATAGGTTACTGGTAACTCACTACATACTTGATTATAAGCTACATACAAAATATGGACACTAATAATATAATTATTTTGATCGGAATGGGAGATTTGTGGAGATTGTAGTAGTTTTAATAGTTGAATTCATGAGTCGAAATAACCTAGACCACCACTGAAAACCTGGAAGCACTGGAGTCTAATCCGTGTCGGATAGAGACAGGTATCTATCTACCTCAGACAATGGATGAACAGTTGCGTAAGAGTATGGATCGATCGAAGTTAAACAATAACGCTAATGGATACCGGCCAGCTTAGTTATTTAGTGGTTAGACGCTTGCGTGTGAGCCCGAAAATTCTGGATTCAAATCTCGCATGCTAGGATGAAACGTTCGTTCAGTGCTTCCAGGTTTTCAATGATGATTTAACTTACATCGACTCATGGATTCAACTATTAAAATTTGATTATTATCAGTATATTGAATGAAACTAATTATTTTGTTTGCATTTACTGAGAAAAAGACAGTTTCGTTTATTTGAGATCTGACAAGTTTGAAAAATATCTTTCCATTATATTTCATTTATGATTACGTGTAATGTTCTGCTGTAGTGCTACCATTGACTTAGTTATTTAAGTTCAATTATTCTGACTATTATGATTACAAACACTGTATAATTCATGCTTTTGATGTGAAATGAATCAGATTTAAATGAAGTAGGAACACACTAGTGAATATCACGTTAGTTTAAGGACATGAAGTTATCTATGAATATATATGTGTACATTAGAGGTCGATAATTGGTTTCTTACGATGGATATAAATGAAAAAACAATCATGAAATAAGTTGGAGAAATTAAAACAGTCGATTGATCACTGAACAGTGAGCAATTTCATGTCTGTAATGCCATTCTTAGTGCTGATTTAATTCTATCGATCAAGTCAAAATGTGATGAGTAGTCGAAGTGACCTGACATCTCATGTACTATATTAACTTTTTAAGCGGTTGGAGCTAGTCGATAGGAAACTCTGCTGTTTGGCACTCGTCAGCAATGTATACCTGCAAGGTTGAGGTGGAGGATACTCTCTGGTGGATTCATTACTGTGTCACCCAGCATTACAGTCAGAGAATTTATTACTCCATTATTCTTTTCGGAAGTGACTTGCTGTAAGGTCGAGATGCATTTACAGTTCCTTTCAGAATTACGGACACACTTCGTTGACAAGTATCAAATAACACCAAATATAGTCTCAGGATTTTGTGTCAACTACCTACAAAACACCTAACAATTTAGCGACCATTTTTACTCAGTGTCTTAGTCGATAATATGTAAGCGTTTGATATGATATACAGGCACTTGGTTAGAGTTTTTTCATAAAAAATTGCATAGCAGTAGGGGCGATATATCGGCCAGTTAGTATCGAATCGAACGAAAAGAACATTTTTGTATCGTGATGCTAATCACAACCCAAACTATTATCAAGATAATCTATTACTTTATGCAATGTCATATATATTCATTTTTGAGATCATTACTATTTAAATGACTTTTACAAAAACTAACAATACAACACCTGGTTGACCGTTTTATCTCTCTTCAGTGACAATATTTTCCTACTTTAGTCCCTAAATGCCCTGGTATGGTCGAGAGTGGGGTTAGTCAACTCTCCCTCTCGAAGTGGTCACACGTAAACAGACACTGACAGGGAAGTCCTACTCACTGCCTTCTCACACTAGGGATGTTGTTCACGAAATTGAGAGGACGAAAAGCAAAATTTAGGGAGTTTGCCGGGTTAGTGGATATGGAGGATCTACCTAGGGGACTTTGAAAATCCTGATTCAAAATCAATGGTGCAGATTGGCTCCAGTATCCTAAAGGAACAAATGGAGTATGAACCTATTGTTAGTCACCGGCTACCATGGGATTGCACCTCTCGACATTGCTCCACTGCCTTGCTGATTAGATCTTTAGGTCGAAGGCTCTGGGTGTGGCCCCATAGTAAAATCACCTACTTCGGTCTGAACACCGGGGTACTATCCCAGCCCTCACATTAATCGAATGATTTATGTGGCACATATGTATTTGGTGCCTCATTATACCAATGTTTATGTGTTTATATAAATATGACCTTCAATATTTAAGTTCACTTAGTATTGTTTACTTGAATCTTCTCATTGATGTTTAGAACTTCACCGCATTTCAGAACCAAGTGGCCGTCAGAACTCAGTAGCTAAGTGAGTGGTGCTGGGTTCGAGTCCCCGAGTGAATATCAAATCTGGGATGCAAGTACATCCAATTGACAAGTCTCAAATAAAACGAAACGAACGTCCTTAATTCCACTGCTAGCCACTATCCATCTTTGCTTCAGAATTTAGTCTTCATTCATCTGATAAGTAACTAATAATTGTTGAATTTAAACATGTTAATTACTAGATACCTCCTCAATGATTCAAAGGTTAAACACTTACAGGTCCTGGGTGCGATTCCTATCGACCTGTAGATGTGAACTACCGAAGAATCCCATTCTAAGACGAATAAACTGTCCAGTGTTTCATACATTTTGATGTTAGTTTAACTAAGGTTCGTCATTAATGTTAACAA